TTACACCTTCTGTGTCCCTCACATGTAGAGTTCCCCAAGGTTTGATTCTCGGGCCAATTCTTTTCTTACTCCATTTGTCTACCATTGGATCTATCTTAAAAAGACATAATATCAGCTTCCATTTTTACGCAGATGATTTGCAAATCTACCTTCCCATAAAAAGAAAAGATGGTAGCTCTTTAACAAAATTGGTTGACTGTTTTAATGATATTAAAGCCTGGATGGCCTAACATTTTTTAAACTTCAACGAGAGTAAAACTGAGGTAATGATTTTTAGACCCAGTGGCGCCTCTGATGTCTCTCAAATACACCTGGGCACCTTGGAACCTTATGTTAAGTCACAAACTTAAGAAATTGTAACAAACCTGTGTGTTAAAATGGATTGTGATTTTAAAATGGAGAAGCATATCAATTCTGTTGTGAAAGCAAGTTCAACTTAGGCTTCTTACTAAACTTAAGCCCTTTTTATCCTTCACAGACTTTGAGAAGGTTATACATGCATTTATCACAACACGCCTTGATTATTGTAATGCTTTGTATGTAGGTGTTAGCCAGGCCTCCCTCTCTCGTCTACAACTGGTTCAAAATGCTGCCGCTCATCTCCTTACTGGAACTCGTAAGCAAGATCGAATCACCCCTGTTCTTGCCTCCCTTCACTGGCTCCCAGTTAATTTTAGGATTGATTCCATTATTTGTTTTTAATGCCCTACAAGGACTAGCTACAGCCTATATCACTGATCTTTTGAAGCCGCATGCTCCTTCAAGGTCATTAAGGTCCGCCAACCAGTCGCTTCTTGTTGTCCCTAAAACACGGCTCAAGAACAGAGGTGATCAAGCTTTCTCAGTCGCAGCCCCGAGACTGTGGAATGAAGTAGGTGTCAGACTGGCCCCCAGCCTTCCGGTTTTTAAATTGCGACTTAAAACACATTTTTATTCCTTGGCTTTTAATTCAACATGAGAGCTGTATGTTGTATTTGTCTGGTGTTGTATTTTGTGTAATTTATTCTTTCATGTCAATGTACAGCACTTTGGACAACCTGGTTGTTTTAAATGTGCTTTAGAAATAAAGTTGGATTGGATTGGAATTACATTCAGCCTATACAGGACCCTTCACAACAAGATCATGATTACTGCCGGACAGCCAGCAGAAAAGATGTGCAGGAGAATCAATTGTATCAATACTGGAAGGACATGCCAGTAATTCATTTACAATGTCTGTTCGAGATCAAGTTCTCATGACAGTTATGAAATTAAAAACAAACCGTGTAATAGATGATCTAAGCAGTCAGTTTCATGTATCACTAAGCACGGTTAACAAGATCGTCTCATATTGGATCGACAAGCTGGAATAAGTTTTGTGACCTCTGATTCTTTGGCTTCCAAGAGAAACTATTCGGGCAACCATGCCTGCAGCATTTAAACATTTCCCCAACACAACATGTATTATAGACTGCAGTGAGAGCCTTTTACAAAAAACCTTGAATCCAGAGGGGAATCATACAGCCACTATTATTCACACAACACTGTGAAATACCTGGTAGCTGTTGCCCCATGTGGACGAATCATGTTCATTTCTGCAGCATATGGAGGACGATGCAGTGACAAATTTATCAGCATGGACTCAGGAATAATAAATATTAAACTACATCCCTGCCTGGAGATGACGTCATGGCAGATAGAGGTTTTACCATAAAAGAGTTACTGTTTGAGAGAAAGGTGAAATTGGTAATGCCTTCTTTTACAAAAAAGTGTGGACAGCTAATTGAGGAACATGTGACAAGCACAAGACAAATGGCACATGTGAGAATTCACATTGAAAGAGCAATTCAGCATTTGAAAGTTTACAAAATACGGTCACAGGTGGTTCCTATAACAGTGGCTCCAAAAATTGCCAAGAGTCTAAGAGTATGTGCTGCTCTAGTCAATCTGAGGGAGGGTCTCATTCGAAATTAAAAATATCTACAAGACCCACAAATGAAAAGGTGCCATAATGGCTGAAACACTGATCTCTACAACATCTGTATAGAGTTAGTTAGATTGTATGTGAAGATCTGTGTTGTACAGAAGATGAATACTTGTGCATTGTATAATACAAACTGTTGAAAAATATTAAATTACTTACAGCATTTAATGTCATCAACTCTTTAAATGACATGTTGATATGTGAATGTTTTCAGAAGACCGATAATTGCTTTACACAGTCCAATGATATCCCAATTGTCATTCTACTCCATTTATGGTCATGTCTCATGTGCAGATGTTCACTGAACCTTGTCCGTTACCACAATTTATCTTTTATTTAGCTTAAACCATCCTGCAGCATATTAATCTAAAAGCCGAGGTAGCATACCTGTCTGAGAAGTATAAAACATCTCTATCTTAACTTTCTCCCTCACAAATGCCTTCTCATACTGCACTCTAAAGGAAACATGCTCTCAGTGAGTGAGGGCTGGGTTGGCACTGGACATTTTACTTCCAGTAGCACACATGAGTCAGTGACCCCATCAGGACTGGCAGAGAGCCATGGTTCTTGGACACTTACCACAGTGCCCCTGTGAGTAATATCCATGCCCTGTTCTTTCAGCTGATGGCAAGCTCTAAATTCATTTGCTCTACCATAGTTGGTCGCATAGTTACCACGAAATGAGGGGTATATGTGTTCACATAGAAATTTGTCACTGCTTGTGGCTGCATGGAAAGGAACATTTTTTGCAGTAAATCTGATTTTTCTACAATTGTGCCACAAATCAGATGCACTTTGCTCTCTTGTTTCTATCACTAACATCACTAACTTCAACATATGCCTGGTATAATGTCTTGCATGACAGCTACATTGTAACTGTGTCTGATGTGGCTGAAATATCTCGTCGTCAGTGCGCTGTCCCTGCAGGTTGTTCTGCTGATAGTGAGGCATTAAAACACTTCTCAAGTAAAATGTTCTTGAGGACTAGAATAGGTTGGATGGGGGCTTTGTCTACACTGTCTCTGAAGTCTGTGTGACAGATGATGTGATGTATTTCAGAGTGATGTAGTGATTTCTCTGCCTTCTGCCTGAAATTAATCTGCCTGAGACATTTATGCTCAAGGTTCTTTGATGTCCCTGCGTTCCACCTGCACTAGGGCTGAACAATTAATTGCATTTGCAATATTAATGCGATGTAATAAAATGAGATTTTCTAATCGCAAAGGCTGCGATTACACTCCGGTCACATGACACCCAAGAGGAAAGCAGTCTGCAGACGAAGTTGATGCTTCGTCTCCACTTTATGCTGTACCTTGCCTTCTTGTTGTAAAATGGCCTTAAGCTTGACAGAAGCTGACACTACATAAACTTTAGTGTCACACAGGGAATGAAAGTAGTATCCGCCACCCACAGGTAACGTGGTGGTGGTGGGTGAAATCATCGGGCCATCCGCGGCTTTGACGGACATGAAAAACGCACAACAGAATGTGCAGTAAGGTAAGCGTATTGTGGCGATTGGCACCTGTGTCACACACACAGCCACCAGTCAGCTTAGGAAATATCTGTGAAAAGGCATTTCAAACTAAACGCACAAGTCCGAAAAAGAGGTGCAGTCTGTCCTGAGTTACTGCCTGGTTATAACAAGTGCGCTGCTCACCAGCATCGAAGGCTGCGGGGGAACTCCGGTGATGTCAGAAAATTACTAAGCTTGTCTAGTAAACATGACAGCCGTCACTTGGTTTTATTTTCGTTTGGCCAACTATTGAATTGAACCTCAAACTGAGTATTTTTTGTTTGCTTACTGGGATACAGAAAGATGGACTTCTGTGAGACTTGTACTGAGATCAGGACGCATTAATTGGTGGTTGAACTGTGGGTTTTGTATTGAGCGCTTACTGTATAACACACTGGTTAGTTTAGTTTTTCTTGTGGTCTGTAGGTAGGCCGACCTGATGATATTATATCATATTATTTAATGCCATGACTTGACTAAAATTATCTTTCTCATATTATTATAATTTGATCAATCTTCTCCACCATTGCTCAAAATAATAATTCTACCTAATTCATCATAACACAAGAAAGAACAGTGTATGTTCTATCTATCTAATATTGTGTTGGTCAGACTATACACTGATTTACTGCTTGTCTATTTTGAATAATACAGAAGGTAAAGAGTTTAAAAATCAATCGTATATTAAATTGCAATCGCAATATTGGTTAAAAAAAAAATCGCAATTACATTATTTTCCAAAACCATTCAGCCCTAATCTGCGCTGCTCAGCTGTACATGCAAGCCCTGTCTTTCTACTAACCACTGCATTCTGCACCTGTAATAATGATATCAATAGTGTCTTCATTATTTCTCCACTTACTATTGACATTACAATTAAGCTTGAACATAAGTATATTTAATTAGATGCAAGTCATTGCACATAATATAAGCAGCCTATAGTACATTTTAGAAGCTCCAGTAAGGGTAGGTATGAAAGATGTTTACAGGTAGTGGTGCACAGTAATTATGTACATTTACTCAAGTACTGTACAGTACAATTGTATTTTTAGCTTCCTCAGAATAGCTGCTGCATGTCTCCACGACTTTCTGTCAGCATTGGAAGAAAGGTGAATAAAACCAAAATAGACATAGATCAGCGCTGTTTAAGATTTTAAAGAAGGAATCTGTTAAACGCTGATGTTCTCTCTAACACGTCGTCATCATCATCATCTTTATTGTTATTATCATCATTATTATTTTTATTAATATTATTATTATTGTCATTAACCTGACCAGTTTAAGAGAAGGCTGGAATGGAGCCACACATGGAAACTGCATGTGTTTAGGGTCCAATCAGCTTCATGGACATTTGAATTCTGGAGTCAATTATTCCTGTCAGGTATAGATCATTCCAAGCCTTTGTCCCAGCCCCCTGACACCTAGCCCCCAAACCAGATCCAGATCCTTTACAGACAGACAGACTGTAGGACAGACACACCACACAGACAGGAAATAAATAACTCTCAATCAGAATGTACATACCATAGAATAAAGAGCATAGATGGCCACCAGGGTCAGAGGAAGGCCGACAGCAACGACTATTGATGTCACCACAGATGCGAGGAATTTTATGTTGCTGTAATCGTAGCTTTGTTCCTGTGAGGTGTTGTTAATGTAGAGACCTTCCATTCTTCAGAGTGAAACCTGTTTGAGAGATCAGGTTATTAAAGGGAGCAGGTTTTTAATATCTACCTAACATTGTTCAGTGACATCACTAAAGCTGTGAGGTGAAGTTCACACAAACACAGTGTACCTATAGTTTACCCACAATCATATCAAATCACAAACTGCTGTCTTTACTGCTCTGTTAACTCTTGTAGTGTTAAAGCCTTTAGATCGCACAACGGAAATTTGAATTTGATTTCCATCAGATTAAGTCTCTAGGAGGAGTTTGTTAAAGTACGGAGCCTTTCATTCAAAATGGCCGACGTCCTGTTGGGTTTAGGGCATTGTTTGTAAGCCTGGGCAATTTTGCCACACCCCTTTATGAACATCATATTACCATGTTAATACATTTCACATATTTTATAGAGACCAACAAATACTATTTCTGCTGGCAGGAGGCTGACTTCCTGTTAGTCTTCAGTGGAAGGCTCCTGGTTAGGACACAAACTGCTGCGTGTCAGACTTTATGTCCCGTCTTTAAGTGTTAAAACCAAAAGTCGTCTTATCATTCTAAATATTTCGTAATAACAGTACATAAAGTATTTCCAGAACATTTTCAAATTTCCAAACTTCCAAGCAGTATATTTAAACATTAGATACAGAAGTGAGGTTATCCCCGGAGAGTGAAGGCAGCATCCTCTTCTTTTCTTAAGCTTTACTCCAGGACAAGGCTCAGTCCCCCCTGCACAGGGCAGCAGCCTGCTTTTGCTGCTTTGTTACTCAGTTTCAAGACACCTCTAATATCTCAGAGACACTTTAGCTTCTTGTAGTTTAACTCAATAAAAAAACATGGCACCATCTACCAGCCAGTTACTGGTAAAATATGCAAATGTCTGCTAGATTTACTTCATCAGCAGCTAAAAACAATGGTAATCTACTGAGTGGTAGACTTTGAGCGTTTACTGGCTGGTGGACAAAACAGTTCATTTAGCACCCTGCCTGTGTACAGACAGGAGAACCAACTACTGTTTTTTCTCCAGCCACGCTGTCGGGCGCCACGTAGCCTCGTGTTAACCCCTAGAAACCCGGCTGTCTCGGGTCGCCACCCAAAGACCCCGGCGCAGGACAGAGAGAGGCCCCTGATAACAAGCTAGTTTCCATATCAGGTTCTGGCCTACCTCAGTACCAGAAGTCTAACTCCAGACTTTCTACATTTCCTTGCGTCCCCCGCTCCTCCCCCGTTTCTCATCAGGGAGTAGAGTATTCAAACACAACCTGGAACGAGTTCCTAAACTCCAGATCTAGAGAATAAGACCAGTGTGGCCCTCGGCTCAGTGTGTGGCAGTGTGGAAGAACCTTACCTTGCAGCAGGAGGAGGAGAGGAAAAATAATCTTTGAGATGCTTTACTCAAAGTGTCTTTTATTAAAGTACAATCAGCAAAAAAGAACAGAGCAAAACAGCGTCGACCGGAGTTCTGCTTTTTCAAAATACCAAGAGCTGCAACTTCTATACAGACACAGACAGGATGTGACAGAACAGCTCATGATATATGCTTGCTGTGATTGGTTGATCTCTAATGCAGATGAGCTATGATCAGTCACCTGTAAGTGGTCTGTTATCACACCAAACATGGTACACATGAACACAGAAGATATCTGCCCGCCTGTTTCTGTAAATGCATTCTCCTCAACTCTCAAAGTTATAAAAGTTCAATTAAATGAAATATATAAAATATGATCATATATTAAAATGGTAAAATCATGTAGTTGAACAGGCGAAACAGAGTAAAATACAAACAAACGGGTGATATAAATCATAAACACACCTATCATATCAAATTGAATCAATTAATTAAAGAGGTGGTATTCTCCTTTTTGGCTTTTCCCCTCTCCTTTATTGAGTTATATATCTTTTTGTGCATGTAACAGGTTTGCAGAGTGAAAAAGCCCAAAGTCCAGCCCAAAGGGAGTTCCCACCTCCCACAGAACTGAACACAGCTCCTTTGTAGTCCAGCCTTTTCTTCCGCTTTCTTGTGACGCCACAAGAAAACACACATCATAATGCTCGCCTAGCGGCTAGTCAGAAAAGAAACAGCGGTAGCTGTTGGTAATTTAGCATCCTCAGTGGTTCATCAATTATTTATCATCCTTATTACATTCTTACAACACCACTTTTATTACTTGTTAATAGATTTCACACATTTTATAGAGCTGATTTCATCACAACCAACAAACATCACTCTATGGTCTCTGCTGGCAGGACTTCCTGTCAGTCTTCAGTGGAAGGCTCCTGTGATTAGGACACAAACTGTTGTGTCAGACTTTATCGTCAGACTTTACATCACGTCTTTAAGTGTTAAAACCAAAAGTCATCTTCTATCATTCTAAATATTTTGCAATAACAGAACATAAAGCATTTTTCAAAACATTTGGCCCAGATGGGCGATTAAAAAGCCTTTACAGATGCCTGTTTAATAATGAAAAATTAGATAACAAATACTATTAAATGAATGAAACTGAAGTAATAATTATTTATGCAAATTATTACCAACTAATTAAAAACCTTTAGTCATATTACCAACTGACAGTAGGCTCCAGAACAGTGAGGACATCACAACATAACAAAAACAGTGTATTTCATAAAGAACGTTTCAGATGGATTTGTGGATGAGATGGTAGCCTACTCTGACTGGCTGACCTGTAAAGCCTGGTAGTCCACAATGGGACGTTGGGATGCTGCCACTTGAGTAGAGTATAAGTATTTTTTTCTCAGCAGTGATCCCAGGTGGAGATCTGGATAACTTCTCAGGTTCCATTCCATGATGGCCTCTGGTCTCCTATTTTCCAACTTCAGACATTTTATACGGTCAGACAGTTCATATTTGAACTGAACACCTTCTGGATCCTCTTGTGTAGCGCAGCCTCTTGATTTTCTGCCAACGAACGGTTTCTCCCTCTGCATCTTTGGTTTAGTTTCGGACCACGTGGGATGAAAAGTAAAATAATCTTGGACTATTACGTTCACTTGCCAACTGTGGGTCTCTAGGTTTGAGTTGTTCATTTGTCACGTGACAGCTCGGCTACTGTTTAGCAGACCTGAACTAATCGTTCACCACTCACATGCGTCCTCAATCTTTCATTCATTCGGCAGCCTTCGGAGTTACTGTCAGCGCCGGAGAGTGAGAGACAGGTCTGTTCTCAGGTAACAGCCACTGGACTGAAATTATTTAGCCTTTTTGGAAATGAAAATTTCATCTTTTTATATGTAGTCTATGCATTTAATAAAGCATAACATTATTACAGCACAGTGATGTTGTGCTATAGTTTTAACACAGCCGTCCCGTAAGTCCTGCTAGTGTTTACAGCTAACAGCTGATGAGAGTTGTTCTGGGTCCACTTCAGAGCCCTGACAGGGTTCTACCTGGAGCCGAATTACCACAGAGATTGTCTCCTCTCCAAAACACAGCCACGTAGTACTGTTAGCGTTAGCCCTGTGGTGTGTTTACAGCTAACAGCTGATCCAGGTCCGCCAGAGAACGCAACTTGACTTTTACTTTTTATTTATGAACAGTGCTGTTGTTTCACAGCTCGTGACTGGTGAACAACCTGCAGTATTGGAGAGCGACGTGCTCATGTGTGTTTCTCTGTCTGCAGAATCAGGACCTGATGTGGCCCATTCTGCGTCCAGACCTTGTGTTAATATTTCAAGTCTCAAGTCTCTCGTGGTTATAATGAATGTTGTATCACCTACTGCGTTCAGTCCACGTTGCTTATAAAACTGCAGAGCTATAAGGAATGCTGTAACTGTAACCTGTTTTTCATTTACAGAGCACAACCATGTAATGTGCAATGCAATTATTGACGGCTTATTAAATACTGTAAGTCAACACCCCAGACTCTTAAACCCAGTGTAACGTTAACTAAATAAAACTTACAGAGCACGACCATGTAGCCTAATGTACAATGCGTCTACAATTAATGACAGCTTATAAACTACTGTAAGCCAACAAACCCTGTTGACTCTCAAACCCAGTGTAAGTTAACTAAATAAAACTGTAAGGTTACATGGTCAACAATAAAGCTGTAACCTCTTTCTAATGGTAATTATTGACATGAGGCAGCCAGCGGGACGTAAATAATGACGTTGACCACCACAAGTTTGGCAAGTAAACAAACGCTCATTCATCTTTTCATAACGAACAACAGTCAGAGTTAACCTCTCGTAGGTTGTAGCTGAAGCAAGAAGCAAGCTAACGTTAGATGGCCGATGCTGAGCTAAACATGTTGACTCACCACAGGTTACTAACCTATTTGCGTTCAGCGCTTCTTTGTTTGGGTCTTGTTTTATCAAGTTTTAAAGCCAAAGTTTATGATGAACGGCTCAGCAGCTGCCGGTGTTTGTTGTCCTCTCTCACGTGAGGCTGCGCGCAGCTGATGCTACGTGTTACGTAGGCAGGTTATAGGTAACGCAGGGAGGGAATAACAGCAAGCTCATCAGAAGTTTCCTAAAAAATAAACATTGTACACGAGTCCTGCACCTCGAGTCTGAGTTGAGTCTTTAACTCATGTCCCCATCTCTGTTGAGAACTACCCCGTTTTATACATCGCCCACTAGAGGGCTGCAGAACCGCAATAACCTGCCTAGTTCAAATAAATGAAATGAACGAAATGAAATGAGATTTGAAGGTTCGAGACTTTCAAAAGAATCACTTTTTCCAGAGAGGACAAATACTTGAACATAATAATAATAATAGTAATTATTATTATTAATAGACTGTCAGGTTGTAGGTGCTCAACTTCCAGCTCACATTACTCCACCGAGTGGTCAGCACTGGTGCAAGCTTTGAATGAGGACTTTTATGTTCTCGGGCCTGCGTCTGTCTGTTTTGGTGGCCATTGTATTGTTCTCCATTGATCTGTTTGTCTTGCTA